ATTGACTGCAGTGACATTGACTGCAGTGACATTAGGATGAGTAACGTTGACACCCATGACATTTGGATGAGTTACATTGACTGCAGTGACATTTGGGTGAGTTACATTGACACCAGTGACATTTGGTTGGGTTATATTGACACCAGTGACATTTGGGTGAGTTATATTGACTCCAGTGACATTTGGATGGGTTTCATCGACTCCAGTGACATTTGGATGGGTTCCATCGACTCCAGTGACATTTGGATGGGTTCCATCGACTCCAGTGACATTTGGATGGGTTGTATTAATTCCAGTGATATTTGGATGGGTTGAATTGTTTACAATGACATTTGAATCCGTTACATTGACTCCAGTGACCTTTGCCTGAGTTCCATTAATTCTTGTAACATTTGCCTGGGTAACATTGACTCCTCTGAGATTTGAATGAGTTGCATTGACTGCAATGACATTTGGATGGGTTCCATTGACTTCAGTGACATTTGGGTGAGTTACATTGACACCAGTGACATTTGGATGGGTTATATCGATTCCAGTGACATTTGGATGGGTTATATTGATTCCAATGACATTTGGATGGGTTGTATTGATTCCAGTGATATTTGGATGGGTTGTGTTGATTCCAGTGACATTTGGATGGGTTCCATTGACTCCAGTGAGATTTGGATGGGTTGTATTGATTCCAGTGAGATTTGGATGGGCTATATTGATTCCAGTGACATTTGGATGGGTTCCATTGACTCCAGTGACATTTGGATGGGTTCCATTGACTCCAGTGACATTTGGATGGGTTCCATCGACTCCAGTGACATTTGGATGGGTTGTATTGATTCCAGTGATATTTGGATGGGTTGAATTGTTTACAATGACATTTGAATCCGTTACATTGACTCCAGTGACCTTTGCCTGAGTTCCATTAACTCTTGTAACATTTGCCTGGGTAACATTGACTCCTGTGACATTTGACTGGGTTACATTCACTTCTGTAACATTTGCCTGGGTTACATTAACAATTGTGATCTCTGCCTGGGTTTCATTGACTCCTGTGATATTTCCGTGGGTTCCATTGACACGAGTGACCTTTGCCTGGGTTCCATTGACACGAGTGACCTTTGTCTGGGTTCCATTG